CCTCACTTTAAGTTTTCGACGATTTTCGTTCAAACTATTGATTATACCTCAGAAACAACCAAAAATTGCGTTCTAGATTTGCCAAATGTTCATATTTTTCCAGGGAAAGACCTCTAGACCTTCTTTGGTTGGGGCATCTGTTGATTATACCTCAGAAACAACGAAAAATTGCGTTCTAGATTTGCCAAATGTTCATATTTTTCCAGGGAAGGACCTCTAGACCCTCTTTGGTTGGGGCAACCCTCCCTCCCCCCCATTCCCTATTTAATTTTTTTCCAAATGTTGCAGCACTGCCACTGATCAACGTATAGTTTGGTTTCGTATACTTTGCTTCCTCTTTTTCCTACTTTGTCCTAATTTTTCCTCCAAATTGAATTTCTACTTTTTCCCCTCTTTTTGTCAAAATAAGAATATTTTTACGCTTAATTTTCAGTTTTAACGATGAGTATCCTTCTATGGTCACCTATTCATATTTTCTCCAGTAGCACGTGGCTGTGACGTCAACTAATGATACGTCACGTATTGCTTGTATTCCCAAACGTGACATTGTTGCCGAACTTCGGCATACATAATTAAGTAACACTGAACACACAAAGCGGATTCGAAATTTTCTTAAACCGACAACTAGGAAAAACGACACTAACAAAGCTCCAAACACGTCGCAATCGAGGAATTTGTTTGTTTTCCTTCACCTGAGAATTTTCTACACAATTTTAGACCCGCGCGGAGATCAATTCTTGAGGAAGAGGAGAGTGGCTCATAGCTGTTCTCCTCTTGACCTTATCCTATCTATACTTATAATTCCGTATATGGTGGCCGCTTAAAATTGGGATGGAAGGGCGGATGAATAGATTTCATGTTCAGCGGCTAGGCGTAACTGATCGATTGTGTATTTCCTTATTTGAAGGTATGGTAAAAATCGGTTATTAAGGTGTTCAGGGCCGGATTAAGGGGGTGGCCGCATAGGCCGTGGCCCATGACGGCAAATCTAGGAGGCGGCAAATTTTGCGATTTTTTTAAATGTAGGTATAAAAAAAAATCGGATTTAGATCAACAATTACAAAAAAAATCTCTCATTTCCTGCGAGTGTAGTAATTTCTAATTTTGTCGTCTTTCGGTGATACAAGAGACAGCACCTTTAATTAATCGAGTTAAGAGAGAGACCAAACACTCAATTTGGCCAGGAACAGCGCATGGCGCGACTGAGAGAGAAATGATGACGAGGACTTGAGATGGAAAGGAGAAGCCCTCGGCGCGGCGATCGGCATGTAACATATATCAGCGCCTACAAGACTGCACGAATACTTCACGCATTGCATCAAACACAGTGCGGTCACTGCGGTCAGCGTGAAACGGATAGCGCCTACAAGAATGCATGAATACTTCACGCATTGCGTCAGACACAGTGCGTTCAGCAGCGGTCGTCGGCGTGAAACTCATAGCACCTACAAATCTATCGGAATACTTCACGCATTGCTTCAAACACGTTGCGGTCTGTGCGGCGCGGCGGCGGTAGTTAAATTAATTAAACCACATTTATGTTTGTTCCTTCATAATTTTTTCGTTCATTTCTTTTGAATGGAAGGCCTTGTCCACGTAGAGATAGGTTTACGAAACTTAACGTTCGCGCAAAGTTCGATGAATTTTTGCTAGTAGTGTTGACAGGGCTTTCCCAAAAAATGTTTCCAACGGCGTCTAATGCACCCCACCCCCAGCGACACGTTCACTTGATGGTTTTTAATGGTGTTTCAAAACGAATGAGAAGGGGGCGGCAAAATACAGGCGGCCCCTGGGCGGCAAATAGGTAAATCCGGCCCTGAAGGTGTTCGTTGCGAACACCCTATTTATCGACCCGCTTCCGTAGATTTAAATGAGATCAATCGATGTATCGCAAAGCACGCCTAGGCACTGTTCATGTTGCCCATCAAAAAGGTGGCTCCTTGATTTTGATGATTGATTCACAACTTGCCATCTCAATGGCTGAATGTGGAAAATGCATTAGTGCGAGACCGATGTAGGTCTCCAGCGAGGAGAGGTTGATCAAAATGGCGTGCTACCATTCATTATTTTTATTTCTTGCCAGATGGAGCATTTCTGCCGAGTTATCATTTGAAAATTAAGCGAAGTAACGATTTTAGGGCAAATCACTTCCGCCAGTGGGATGGGAGTTGGTTCGAGGTTTTTTCTAAAAACGACTTACACTGGTAAAAAAAGTAGCTTGGATGTAGAGTCCAGACTCTTAAAAACATTGACAAGAAAACATACTCTTGATTCAAATGGAAATCCGCTTAAATCAAGAGGCTTGACTCTTCGATTCAAGGAAAAATCCGATTGAATCAAGAGTATTTTTTCTTGTTGATGTCTTTAAGAGTCTGGACTCTTGATCCAAGCTACTTTTTTTTACCAGTGTACAGTGCTCACCGGTAAGTTTGTTGCCTATGCGGAAAAATTGAAGGCGTAACTTGAATGTGCGAGATCAGTATCAGTCAATGTGTTTAAGCTCGTCTTGTCTATTATGGCTTTGCAAAGTTTATAGAGCTAAATAGGTGTATGTTTTTCAAATAGATAAGTAACTATTGTAGTCGAGGAAATATCTCCACCAGGCACTGGACAATTTTTCGCCTGTGATATGTCCAAGAGAAGGCAATGACATTCACGACGCATCGAGTTATGTGGTATCAGTTGCGCCTGCATTCGTGCGAGGCGTCAACCCGGGACACACATCACTCGGTCAACGGAGAATCCGGGTCAGTCATAAAGGAGCTAAATGAAAGGGATTTTTTATTTAGCAGATACATTTTATGCCCAGGCCGTTAATTAAACTGCCCAAGTGGCGTATACGCAGTGCTGCGGAAGCGTAAGGCGCTTACGCTCTTCTCCATAGAGGCAGTTCAATTGAGATCAATTGAATCGGGAAGATATTGCGACGCTCGTATTTTTATGGGCACGTCTTCAATGAGACGAGGCGACGAATGCACAGCACGACAAAATCGTGCTCGCAGCATCGCGGTCGACCTAGTATGAGGGCACACCGCACAAAACAGACACAGCATTCGTAGTCCGTTCCATGGAGAAAAAGAGGTGATTGCGAGATGAGATTCGCACAAACTGACGCCGTTAAAAACACGCAAAAAAGTGCGTTGCCTCTCCTCTATTGCGTTTGTCGAAATTCAGATGACCTGGTAGCTATTTATTGAAATTGATAGAAAAAGCGATAAATAAAGAGAAAGAGGGAAAATGGAGCGATCCTCTTGGTGGGAGCGTGGGTTGTCACAATAGACTAAGAGGGTAAGTAATGGACTAACTAACGGCAACCCAATTTGAAATGAAATAGATGAATAAAGCATTAAACAAGGAGAGCGACGGAAAAATGAAGCAATCCTATTGGTTGAAACTTATTAAATCCAGTC